GGTCCAGTCTCAGTAAGACATACTTCATACTTTGTGTAAATTGTTTTTTTTTACGGCCCGGTCATACTCTGTGTCTCAAATTCTGTCTTGTTGGGTCCTCAGTCCGGCTCCATTGAAGTCATAGTTCCCTCACACCGCACTGATGTCCAGAAAGCCGGACATCCTATTATAATATATGATATTCGGCTATGTTTCCCCTATACATCGGCGGTTCTGGTTGAACATCTGATTTATGGGGTGCTGAGGAATGATTTGCATGGCTCCGCCCACTGTTTTGAAGTGAGGAGGAATGTTCCTCTGATTTTTGGGATATTTGATGGAATGCGATGTGATCTGTTATATTAGTCACGTGTCACGTGTGTAGACTTTGCGGAGTTTCTCCTCCTCTGTCCGTCTGTGTCATACAAATGACGTGTTCGTTCCGTGTTTCCACGCTCTGTGTATGGACGCGTTCGGAGCAGATCGCTGTGCAGAGTATGTGGGGGGACTCCGCTTGGGGCCCTTCACGACTCATTGGTCCCCGCAGGGTTAAACCCGGCACCATACCTGCCATATCGGAGATGGCGAGCATATGATTAATGGCCTCCATCGCCATAACGTTCTAATAACCCCGACGCCGCGTCTGCCTTCAGCTGCCATTTCAATCTGTTTTAATCCCGCTAATTGCTGCACATTTATTTGGATTGCTGGCACCTGCAGGCTTTAAAGGAGAACTTGTTACATAGTTCTGGCTGTGAAATGTAAAATCAATTACAATTAAATATAATTATAGGCTCTGAAACTTGCCGATGTTCCCACAAGTCTGCGTATCTCCGGAGAGTAAAGGGGAACGCTAGACGATGATGATGATGATGACGTTCTCCCAGAAGATATTTCAGTCACTAATTATATTGAACTAAAGCTGATCGTACATAGGAATGCCACATGTTCCGGATTCACCTGGACAGCTGAAACCCAGACACGGCACACGCAGGACTCAAAACCCGGACTGTCCAGGTGAATCCGGAGCAGGTGGCCCCCCGAGCCATACACCTGCCAATTTGTTTCCGTTTAACCCGCGGACTGAAGGAAAAAGATTGACGCGATTCCTCCAATAACACAAACAGCGCGTCAATCGAGGAATCCCGCTGTGTACATTGCATTCTGACAGGTGCCGGATACCCGACCAGAGTGGGCGGCTCATTGGCTGCCGGCTCTGATCCATCAGCTGATCGAGGAATGCCGACAGCCCCAATCACTGAGCCAATTTCGGCTGTTACATTATAAACCATCCGACCTTCGACCGGTGTATGGGCACGTTCAGCCCTCATTCACACTAGATAAGGCCGGCATGTACAGCTCAGCTCCTGGGAAGGACAGGTGCTGATATCCCCGATATCAGACTCTCGTCCTCCTTCCCCCGATATCAGACCCTCGTCCTCCTTCCCCGATATCAGACCCTCGTCCTCCTTCCCCGATATCAGACCCTCGTCCTCCTTCCCCGATATCAGATCCTCGTCCTCCTTCCCGGATATCAGATCCTCGTCCTCCTTCCCCCGATATCAGATCCTCGTCCTCCTTCCCCGATATCAGATCCTCGTCCTCCTTCCC